GAGCTATGATGCCATAGCACTCTACCCAGGGGGATAACTTGAGGCTCTGTCTCAAAAAAATAAATAAATAAATAAAACAAGTACTATAATTTATATCAGAGCCACCTATTACACAAAGAGAGAGAAAAAAACAAGACTCTCAACAATTAATTTTTTTTTTTAGCAGAATAATATGTATCTTTGGCCAGGCCAGGTGGCTCATGCCTGTAATCCTAGTACTCTGCGAGCCTGAGGTGGGTGGATTGCCTGAGCTAGGGATTTCGAGACCAGCCTGAGCAAGAGCAAGAACCCATCTGTAAAAAATACCTGGGCATTGTGGTGGGTGCCTGTAATCACAGCTACTTAGGAGGCTGAGGCAAGAGGCTCACTTGAGACTGAGTTTGAGGTTGCTGTGAACTATGGTGCCGTGGCACTGTAACCAGGGCGACAAAGTGAGACTCTGTCTCAATTTTAAAATAAAAGTATAGTACTTGGGTTAAAAAATATTAATAAGAGATGATTATATACATAATAGCCGCTAGTAAATTTCATAAATTTCTACACTAAATGACATTTAAATGTACCTTATCAAAGATGTCATCTATTTTTCCTTCTTCTACTGACTTCTTTATTGTTTGAGCAGTCTCAGCAACTGATTCAGTTAATTTTTTTGTGGCAGCAGTTGCAAAGTTAAATAGATAGTCTGTAACAAATAAAAAGAGTTAATAGTAATTATATTTGCAATTTTTCCCTTAAAGAGATGTAATAACGATCTAACACATTAGGGCATATTCCTTATGGGTATTTTGCTCTATATCCTTTCACTGTAACAAATCATGGCCATGACTACACTGTACGCTGAGTCCCGTGAGTCCTCCTAGCCAATCAGCAAATCTGGCTGTGGTCTTGGGGCCCCTGACACAAACAACGAAGGTTCTCTGGTCAAGCCTCTGACTGCTGGACTTTTCAGCTTTTGTAGCTGAATTTTCAGTAATTTGCAAATGAAATAACAAAGACACTAAGTAGTCTAGGGAACTCAAACATAGGCTATCTACGTCTAAATCCCAAATTCAAGCTAATACCAATCCCATACTTCTTCGTGTCAGATAAGCAAGTGATAAGGGTTCACAGAACTAAAAGGACTGATTAGGGTAAAGCAAAGTGGGAAGATTGTTAAAGGCAGAAAAAGCATACATTTGTCAATGTAAACGAAAAAGAAGGTAGTTTAAATCCTGCTGTTAGAATAGGAAAATAATTAAGAGTGGTAAAGCCTTAGAAAATTAATTCTTATAAAGCCATTGGGTTTTTTTTCCTTTTTTTTTTTTTTTTT